TTTTCTATCGTCTTGCTTCCATAATATGATTTTTTTTACCACTTATAATGTTCACCTAATTCTAATGAACAGGCAAGTCTAAGGAGTCTCTATCTTGTGTAAAATGAAAAAAATCAAAGTCTTGAAAAAATATTTTTCTACTTACAAACAGATTTTTTTGAAGATTTTCATGTCACATGAGATAGCGTTCATTAGCATTATAAAACACTGTAAATGGTAAAAAAAAACATTTTTTTCTGATGTATTATGGAAGCAAGATGATAGAAAAAGAACTGGAGCTTTCAGTCAAACTAAGCACCCCCAGTCTTTGATGATTGAGGATGTATAGACTTTTCTGGCTAGTATTTCCGAGATCATGTCATCATTCAAAGAAAATAACAAGAGAAAAGTCATTCCTGCAAGTGATTACTGTTGTACTGATCTACTGTCAAATTGTATAAAAACAGAAAGGTGAATGTGTATATATTCTAGTATATTTCATTCGATCAATAAAATCTGAATAAGGCAACACATTGATTGCTGAAAATACACAAGGAGAAAGGGAATATGCTACTAATAATGAGATTTACGTATTTAAACAATAATGGGAGCATTGTATAGATGGAAAAGATTTTGATACTGTTCGCATATAAATTTTAACCAAAACTTAAAGGTGATTAATTTGATATGCCTATTAAAGATTTTCTGCAAGTAATTTTACTGTTTTGCCATTATTTAAACTATCAAGAAGGACCTTAGCAATTTTTCTTGAGCTACAATGATAAACAGCATCAGAATCTTTTAGTGGTCTTGTCACTAAAACATGTGCGACAGTTGTAGATTCATTACCCCTACGTTGATGTTTATATCTCTGTCCATGTATTTGCACTTGAAAATTAATATAGTCACTATTTCCAGTAAAATTCTGATCATCTAAGCGTACATTATCTGTTTGCTTTATTGTACCCGCCTTAAATGGCTGAGACATAATTACCACTAGTTTATCATTTTCATTCCTTAATTTTTTCATAGCTTCAGGCATTAATTTATATTTTATTTCTTTTTCTAGAACCATCCTGCATTACAGTGATAGGATTGAAGATGTAAAGATTTTTCTTTGGTGTACCATCTATCATCTGATTACATCTATTCAAATCAATCTCCCATCTACGTCTCTAACATATTTTTCTGAATGTTTAGCAGTCTAACGGCGTAGTGATACTCGTTCTTGTCCTATAATATTTTCATTTACTTTTCTACCTAATGATTCATGATAAGCTATTAGCAAACAATCTATCCGTCCACTGATCTGTATATATGTTTCTGTTCCTCTACCAGTAAAATAATGTTCAATATCTCCATTTTAATCTGCTTCATAATATATTTTAGCAGATTGTTTAAGAAGAGCAAGTATTTTTCTTACTTCTGAAGGATTTACTATTTCTTTTTCGTCAGTATCTGAATTGTAAACAGTTATTTTTCTTCTTTTACGATCTGCTAACATTTTGATATCAGTTAGACCTAAAGCTCTATCTTTATCTTTTGCTTATCTCAAATAACTTGCAGTAATTTGTTTTGGATTTCTAATATTATGTTGTAGATCTTCTCGTTTCGCTCGATCTTGTTGTTCTTTCTTTGAATCTTGATTTATTAGCAATTTGACTTTCTGCATGTTTTTGTCTATTTTGATTCGATTGTTTCAATATATTAGCTGGATTTTTTTCCATTACATTGTGAATCAACCATTGTCTTTATTCCTTCCACAATGGTTTTTCCAATCTGTTTTAATGTTCGATTAATAGCTTGTCTTACTACTTTATCTAATTCTTTTGTTAATTTAGTTGATATATATATTCTCTAATGATTCTATTCAATTGTTCTGCTCTTGTTTCGACAAGGTTCTGATTAATGTTTTTTCTATAAATATTCTGATTTTCTTTGGTAGTACCTTCAATAATATCTTTTAAAGTATTAAGGACATATTCGAACTGTAAGACAGATTGAACTACAGTCCATAACTTATTAATGATATCTATTGCTTTAAGAGTAGTAGCAGCTATTTGAACGTATTTTGAATTTGATTTCTTTAGACCATCAGCAAATAGATGATAACTATTTCTTAAAGAAGATACAACTCGTGTTCGAATATTATCAAATTGTTGAGGTAATAAAATATCTTTTCCTAATGTTTTTTCTAATAGGTTTTTTTCAATTCTTCAAAAGATTTTTCGAACTCTTCTTCATTTTTACTTTGAAGATAAAGCGGTTTCTACTTTATTATTTATTAAACCGATTATTTTTTTTAATAAATTTTCTTCTATTTTACTAACAATCTTTTGTATAACATTTTCTTGTATCTGTTCCATAATTTTATCCGTCAAAAACTTTCCAATTCCAGCAGTCAACATAGAGAGACCGAAGCTAAATGCTTTTTGTATTGCCCATTCTTTCCAACTAAAAATACCTGATATTAAAGCATTGCCTATCTGAGTCAAACCAAAGGCTACTAAAACAGCTTCGGCAATGTCTTGAACAAGTCCTATCATTGCAACGGCAAAAGCATTCCAATCCCACCAAGATTTATCTTCTTCAATAATCAAAAATTTATTAAGATTAAAACCTTCAAAAAATCTTAATTCACTTGGAACATTTTCTTGATCTTGAAGATCTATAAAATCTTTTAAATTAGCTTTTAAACCTGTTTTAAATGAACGAATATCTCCTTGTAAAGACAAAATTTTCGACAAAATTAATTCTTTATCATTTTCAAATTGAATATTTTTTAAAATTTTATTTAAAATTCTTTCAATATTTCTTTTAATATCTCCATATTTATATTTAGCAAGTCCACCAGACTTTAAAATATTTTTTTCTTTTAGATAAATTCGAATATTATTTCCTTCTTCTTCTTTAATAGTAAATGGTAAATCTGTTTGATAAAA